AATATTCTTTTAAAATTCCAAAGACTTTACTCTCTGCACACACACACACACACACACACACACACACACACACACACACACACACACACACACACACACACTACCTTTGTGTTTTTATCCTCTATGAAACAGGAAAAAATAAGTCCTACAAAGCCTTGATCCATCATCTGGTACATGGCTTGTGTACGAACATCTGGAAATGAAAATAAAATATTCCATCAACAAATTATTTTACTTCTAAGCCTAATTCCTCATCAGTTAAATGTGGGTTAACATCAACCTATCTCTCACAAAGCTGATGATCTTTTAAAAATGGAGATTTTCAGAACAATGCCTAGCAAATCAAAGGTAAGCATTCTCATTCTGTTTCATCCACAACCACTGAAAACAATTACTGTCTCTAACATGTTACCGAAACTGCCTTTGTCAAGGTCACCAATGACCTCTACTTGGTTCTTGATTTGTCTTTTTCTCAACTGATCACTCCTTTCTGAAATACTGTTTCAGTTGGCCTTATACTCTCTTATACTTTGTATACATCGTAACTTCCTGGTTGATCTTTTCCAGTATCTTTTTTTCAGAATTCTCATCTTTTTACTAGAAATATTATGATTGCCAGGGTTAGTCTGAAGTCCTTTTATCTATCTACCCTTACTCCCTGCATGATTCATATAGTTCATAGCTTCACATTTATATCTTCACTTACCACTCATAATCCATATCCAACAAACTAAAAATCCAGAATCATTTATCTAGTGGTCTGACACACAGATTTAGTCGTCTAAAAGTGTTACTCAGCTGGGTGCCAGTGGCTCACACCTGTAATCCTAGCTACTCAGGAGGCTGAGATCTGAGGCTCACAATTTGATGTCAGCCCAGGCAGCAAAATCTGTAAGATTCTGATCTCCAATTAATCACCAAAAAAGCCAGAAGTATAGCTATCTTAAGCGGTACAGCATTAGCTTGAAAAAAAAGCTCAGATACAGTGCCCAAGCCCTGGGCTTAAGCCTCAGGAATGGCACACACACAAAACAGTGCTACTCAGTGCTATAGCAGGTCTGTGCACCATGTTACCTATTCATAAGGAATCCAAACAAATGTGGGGTTTCCTCACTGAGAAAGCCTACTTAGGGAAAACAAAACAAAACAAGCTGAACTAAATATGTGCTTTGTGACACAAATGATGTAGTAGGTTCTAACCTCATTTCCACCTCTTATTTTAACCTCCTGAGCCTTGTTTATTACTCTATATAGTAGAGAAGACCACTAACCCACCGATTAATATGAGGGCTAGAGAAAACATTGGTAAATCATTATCATATAGTTAATTACTACTGCTCATCAATGTAAATTCACTCTAATCAAAGTTTTTGTACTTTCTAGAGACAGGTAGAAGAAAAAAATCAATCATTCTCAAAAAAAGAAAAGAGAAAAACAGCAATTTAGTTACATTATACTGATTGAGAATTAGGTTATGAATAGGAAGCCCTACAGAAAAGATGAATTATGTATAACCAGAGATTATAAATGTCAATTTTTCAAATTTCACCTTTAACAACAACAAAACTTCAGATTGGAAATTAGAAATAAACAATGTTCAGTTTTTCAGTTACACTTTTAATTTGAGGTGAATTAACAGCAGTTAGGCTTTAGTCCTGATTTCTCAGGTACAGTTAAAATTGGAGGCTGAAATTTGTCTCTCACTATTAAAACCAATAACACATGGCAAAAGAGATCAAGATAATGACATCTGTTTAAGAATAGTCAAATTTGAGGTTAAAATAACCCTGGCCTATGTGGTGGAGAAGGAAAAACAGTTATTCATTTCTAAAGACAATAAACAATGCTACCACATGATACTTACCAACATGTGAAGGCCAAACGGTTATATGAGGATGGGAATGATACCAGCCCACAACTCTCATGGGGCGACCTGTTAGTTCAGCTAACCTGTGTGTTTGTCAAGGTATCTACAAAATGTGTGGTAGCAGGACAGAACCCAGGCTTGACATACAAAGCTGTAACCCAAGACTCCAAGAATCTTTTGTTTTTTTCATTCACTTCATTTCTCTCTGGCAGTTATCAAGGTTAACATCAGCAAACAGAGTGGTTTCAAAGCCCATAAGGTTGAGGGTATAGCTCAGTTGTACAGCACTAGTCTAGTACACACAAGGCTTGGGATCCACCCCCTGCAATATAATGCTAAACAACAAACAAACTCAACAGGCTAGGTACCAGTAGCTCATGCCCATAATCCTAGCTACTCAAATGGCTTAGATGCAGAGAACTGTAGTTCAAAGCAAGCCCAGGCAGAAAAGTCTAGGAGAATCAGTCTACAAAATGAAAAAAGTGAGGTTACCAGCATGACTCAGGTGGAAGAGCACAGATAAATGAACAAAGATCATAGCTTGGGCTAGAACTATCCATCTGAAGAGTATTTTTTATTCTATAGCTGTAAAAATAAAATCTTTCAGACAGGTAATCCTAATCAGCAATCTTAATTAGGAAATGGAAATAGGAGGGTTGCAGTTTGAGGGCAGTCCAGGAAAAAAGTTAGTGAGACCCTATCTCAAAAAACAAGCCGAAGCCGGGCGATGGTGGTTCATGCCTGTAATCCTAGCTACTCAGGAGGCTGAGATCTGAGGATCGCAGTTCAAAGCCAGCCCGGGCAGGAGAGACTATGAGACTCCCATCTCCAATAAACCATCAGAAAACTGGAAGTGGCGCTGTAGTTCAAGTGGTAGAGCGCTCGCCTTGAGCTGAAGAGCTGAGGGACAGCGCCCAGGCCCAGCGTTCAAGTCCCACGGCCGACAAAAAAAAAACAAGCCAAACTTGGTGGTGCATGCTTTCCTGTAATTCTAGCTACCTGTGAGGCAGAGGTGGAAGGACTATGTTCTCAGATGAGCCCTGGGAAAAGCTTGAGATATCTATTTGAAAAACAAAGAAAAAAGTCTGGAGATGTGGTAAAGCACTTGCCTAGCAATTGCAAGGCCCTGAAAACTAGAGATAGCACAGTTGCTATTCTATAAAATATTGATTCATTTTTCTAAAAATTACCTATACTGCATCCCAATAATCCTTGTTGTACAACTAAGTATGAAAAACATTTTAAAAATATATTAAAAAAGAGACAGTCTTAGTATGTAACCCAGGCTGGCCACAGTGCTTAACAAGTGTAAAATACAGTAATGTATTTATCCATCGTACCATTTTGGAAATAGTTTCAGTATGAGATTAAATATGGAATCTCAATACTAAACATAGTTTTCCATAATTCTGTTCCAGAAATTTTATTTTGGCTACATTTGTTTACAAAACACCAATGTGCCAATTCTAACTGAAAAAGAAGCCTGCACTTCCCACAAGTCTTAGAGCAGTTGCAAGGATCTGTGAGATAAAGAATACTCTGGTATGGAAGGCTAGATGTTCTGTTATTCCCTTCTTGTCTAAAAGCTAGAGCAAGATGCCATCTTGAAAGAGGGCCTATTGTTTAGAGAGTGAACTATACTAGGAGCCTGAAAACAAGGAACACACAGTTCAAGGAGATGGGATATCCTGCCCAAGAGTATGAGTAGGAGACAGCCAAGGGAAGTGGTTGAGGGACAGGGTCAAGATGGACTCAGCAGACAAGTACAAGCTGTGAGGAACTGCGCCAGCAGCATAAGGCCACAGGGTACCATGATGGCCTCACTGCCCTAGGCTGGAGGTGATTCCTACTGCCTGAGGTGAAAGTGGAAACAAAAAGTCAAGCTAGTTAATGGCTTAATAATAGGCCCAGAGGGCCTGTTTCCTGGCTGTGTTGACTGTGGGTTAGAACCCCGATTCAAACCCTCTCAATCACCTGATAACCACAGGCTCAGTGGGTATTCTTCTTTCTCCCACCCTAAAAAGGAATTATTCAGCTGGGCCTGAAAGCACTAAGACCGGACTCTGAGTGGTTGTATGTTTTCTGAGTTAGGACTGAGGGCCAAGTCCAGACACTCTAAATTACCTAACTGCCCATAGCCTCCTCCTCCATACTGGGAGGCAAATTTGGATGGAATCGGAAAGCACTGAGAGCAACAGGCAAAGTCTGGGTCCATCACCTTCTACAAGTCAGTGCAGAGCTTATTGTTGTTTGCTCTCCCACTATGAGGTTTGGATGCTAGCTGCCTGTGGGGATATAACCTAGGGCAAGTGTAAAGCAAAAGGGCACCTGCCCAGCCCACAGGCTAAACCCCTTAGCAGCCAATAGTGGCTCTAAGTACAGAAATGGAAAAGACCATAGTGACTCCAGTTAGTTTACCTCCATCTGACCAGTGCTGATGCCCTGAGCATGAGGCAAATGCTTGGGACTGAGCCACACACAGCCAGTCCAGTGGTAAGAAATAGCACCCAACCTGGATACTACAATCCTCCTGAATATTTAGATTATTTCAACAGAAAGACTACGAGGCAATTAAAGCTTCCAAACAATGACTTGGCCTCAGATGTATAAATACTAATGGAGAAGCACAAATAATATGAACAAACAAGGCAGCCTATCTCTTCTTTTTTGTTTTTTTTTTTTTTTAATTTGGGTCCGGTCATGGGGCCTGAACTCTGGGCTTGAGCACTGTCCCTCAGCTCTTCAGCTCAAGGCTAGTGCTCTACCACTTGAGCCACAGCGCCACTTTCGGCTTTTTTCTTTTTGCTTATGTGGTGCTGAGGAATCGAACCCAGGGCCTCGAGCATGCAAGGCAAGCGCTCTACCACTGAGCCACCTTCCCAGCAGCATATCTCTTCTTAAGTTCAACCATTCCAGTAGAGGACTTGAACAACAGCAAAGATGAAACTTTAAGCAATGAACTCAAAAGTACAGTAAGAATGATGAATAAAGCCTACATGTATAAGCAGCTGAATAACTTCAGAGTACATAAAAAGCTAAATGAACTCAAAGAGAATTCAAATAGCCATCTGAATGAAATCAAAGAAAACCAAAATAAACAGTTGAATGAGATAAGGAAGACAATGCAAGCAACGGAGGAATTCAATAAGAGCATAGAAATTTTGAAGGAAAATAAAGTGGGAATAAAAAGTTCAGTAAGTCAGCTCACACTTGTAATTCTAGATAGTCAGGAGGCTAAGATCTGAGGACTGCAATTCAAACCAGCCCAAGCATGAAAGTCCATGAGACTCCTATCTGAAATTACCCACCAAAAAGCCAGAAGTAGAAGCATGGCTCAATTGGTAGATTGCCAGCCATGAATGAAAAATCTAAGGGGCAGCTCCCAGATCCTAAGTTCAAGTCCTAGTACTGGCACAAAAACAAAACAAAAACCCTCAGTTGAAAGCCTTAATAGAATGGAACAGGTTGAAGATAATCAGTGATCAAAAACAAAAATTAAAGTCCTTGAGACTCTCAGTGCAGGGAAGCTAGACCTGGGGCTGTGCACCTATGATCCTATCAACTCTGAGAAGCTAAATGTAACAGAGTGTGGCTCAGGCACTACTCTGAGCCACCCAAGACCTAGGTGTTAGTGAGAAGTTACCATAAAAATAAACCACTGAAACATGAAGTATAGCGCATGCCTAGCAAATACTAGGGCATGAGTTAAACCATAGTGCTATCAAGAAGGAAGGAAGGGAGGGGGGACCAAGATGGTGACGGGGCAGTAGGGAACCGCCACAGCTCTCCCCAACCAAAAAGAGAGTTCAAGTTCCAACGCTTAATCTCCCCAAGAGACCGACAACAACAAAAAGATGAACACCCAGAGAAAAACAGGAGGTGGCAAAAAAACAAAAAAGAAAAAGAGGAAAAGAAGAATTTCAGCACAGAGAAGCGTGAAGACCCCTCCCCCAACCTTCACTGGCTGCCGGCAGTAGCCAAGCCGTGGCCAGCCCGCCCAGTGGGGGCTGCCAGAGTCCCAGAGACACAGGGGGCTGCCTGCAGATCACCGGTGCAGAAGCCACCTGAGGTACCGGTGTCAGACCCGCTGATCAAGTCGAACAGAGAAACTCCGAGCCGGGAGTCTGCACAAAGATCCCACCCCCACCACTCACTCTCCATCTAAGCAGAGAGGCTCCATCCCATCAAAGCCACTCGACCCCATGGCAGGAACCCCAGAGCTACACGGCATACCCACAGAACACCAGAGCAGAAGACTTGCAAGGAACTGGCACGGGTCCGGAGAGCGCAGAGACAAACCCCAGTGCTCAGAACCTGCACGGAGGCTGCCGGAGTCCCAGAGACACATGGGGCTGTCTGCAGATCACCCGCACAAAAGCCGCCTGAGGTACCAGTGTCAGACCCATCGATCGCGACGGAGAAACCTCCGAGCTGGGAACTCGGCCCCCCGGCGGGAGCCCCAGAGCTACACGGGGCACCCACAGAACACCAGAGCAGAAGACCTTCAGGGAACTGGTGCTGATCCTGAGAGCATAGACACAAACCCCAGTGCTCAGAACCTGCACGGAGGCCCCGCCCCCACCCCTCAGGCAGAGGCCGGAGGCCCACCTCACCAGGACCGACAGCATCAACTGAGGCAGAGACAGAAGAAAATCACACAGAGCCACCACTGCTCAGCCCAGCCCGCAACCACTCCAACTGAACTCTGATTGCAACGGCATCCAACAACCTATATTACACAGAAACAACTAGCTTCAGGGAGAGTAACCCGCAGGGGACAGTATATCCCTCAAGGAAGACCAGAGCTAGTGGGACTCCCAGACCCTGACTGCGACTCCTTACCCCAACACCTGGACCACAGGCCCCACTAAAACTGGGAACTGTTCCAGAGCTCCACCAGCCCGCGGAGCACACTCGGCTGGCCAGGCTAGAACAAAAGCGCCCCTGGAAGGGAGCTTAAACGCCCAAGCCAGGAACAGTGCCCCTGGGTCAAGACACCCAACAGTGGAAGAAATTTGAACTGTGTACCCCAGGCTGCATAACCTAGGCGGTATACACAGCAGCACAGGTCCAACCGGCATGCTC